CATACCCCAGAACTTAGTAACTTTGGTGGGTTTTTTAATTTATTATTATTATTATTATTACTTTTTTGTGACAGAGTCTCATCTGTCACCAAGGCTGGAGTGCAGTGGCACTATCTTGGCTCACTGCAACCTCTGCCTCCTGGGTTCAAGCGATTCTTGTGTCTCAGCCTCTCAAGTAGCTGGGGTTACAGGCATGCCCTACCATGACCAGCTAATTTTTGTATTTCTAGTAGAGACAGGGTTTTGCCATGTTGGCCAGGCTGATCTCAAACTCCTGGCCTCATGTGATCTATTCACCTTAGCCTCCCAAAGTGCTGGGATTACAGGTGTGAGCCACTGCGCCTGGCCTATTTATTTATTTTTAATTAGAGACAAGGTCTCATTATGTTTCCCAGACTGGTCTCAAGCTCCTGGGTTCAAGGCATTCTCTCACCTCAGGCTCCCAAGTTGCTGGCACTACAGGTATGTGCCACTGCGCCTGGCCTGGTTCACTTTTTAAATAGAATAAAACCTCCAGTCCTTAACAAGCTATGGAAGATGCAGTTATCTGTCTATGTAAGTTATGGAAGGGACCTGGTTCTTTTTTTGTTTGTTTGTTTGTTTGTTTGTTTGAGACAGAGTCGCACTCTGTTGACCAGGCTGGAGTGCAGTGGCGCAATCTGGGCTCACTGCAACCTCTGCCCGCTGTGTTCAAGCAATTTCCCCAACTCAGCCTCCTGAGTAGCTGGCGCTATAGGCACGTGCCACCACACCCAACTAATTTTTTATTTTTAATAGAGACAATGTTTCACCATGTTGGCCAGGCTGGTCTTGAACTCCGACCTCAAGTGATCCGCCCAATTCGACCTCCCAGAGTGCTGGGATTACAGGTGTGAGCCACTGTGGCTGGCCAGACCTGGTTCTTATGCAGACTTTCAACCCATTCCCTTGTTCTTAGCCCATACCTCACTCCCACCTTCTGGAATAACTGGTGCCTCCAATATCTAATCTTTCCCTTGTCCTAGGTCTCCAACTGACTGACTTCTCTTTGGCATCTTTTGGTATAGCACTTGGTATGCAGCTATCTCAGCTCTGCCAACCCGTCCATCCACTTGCCATCTTCCAAAATGTGTTGACATCTGTGGTCCACCCTTGGCTTCTTTGTATCTTCTTTTTATTTTTGTGAGGTTTGTTGAGGGAGCAGATATAAATGCATTTATTCCATCTGCCACATTTAACCAGAAATTTTAAAACTGCACTCTTAATTACTATGCTGAATTGCCTCTCAAATGAGGCAGTACCTCTGGGATCCCATAGTCCCAGAGCCCAATGAGGAGGAAATGAGATTACACATGTGAACATATTTTGTAAACTCTAAAGAGCCGGTGCAGTGAGTAAGAGGGTCTATGTTGAATTCCCCTGCCAAAGTGCCCTCCTTTTTACTCTCTGTTCTCTGATTCCTCCCATCTCCAAAGCACAGATCAAACTTACCTCTTCCTGAGGCCTTCCCTGATCTACCCAGCTACCAGAGATGTCCCTGAGCTCTGAACCATCACAAGATTCTCTTTCACCTCCCTTGGCCCTAAGTAGCGCTGCTTTGTTCTATTGTAAGCACATAGTTACTAAGATGCATCATCAGATGTAGTTCTGCTGGTGTACAAAAAAGAGCTTTCCTCCTTCCTACAGGCAGGGGACATGGGCTTGACTAAACAAAGGTGCAGTTTGGGAGAGGGAGAAGAAGAGTTTTCTTCCTTTGGAGGTGAGTTTAGAAGATAAAGTGGCTTTTGTTGCCCTGCAATCTGAGCTGCAACTGTGGCTCTCAGACCCCACTTTCTTCCTCTTGCTTCCTCTGCCCTCCCCAGACCTCTCCTCTGGGCAGTGGAGCCCATGGCAGCGGCTGCACCAAGTCCATGCCACTGGTCAGTGGCTGTGTGCCCTTTCACTCCCTCACTCTTACCAGAACTTTGATGTGGCATCTGAGGGACTCAACTCATCTGTGGAGCGCTTGAGCCAGAATTGCAGTGGCAGATGGACTGGTCTCTGCCTAGAAGTGGTTGATCTTCTTCTCAAAAAGATTCTGATCATTTTTCAAGAGACAAATTTCACCTGACAGGCTTTATAGACCATTCCACCAGAGTGAAATGTGCCATCTCTTGTCCCTTCCCTGACATGATTATGAAGGAAACTGGGCATTTCCCAGGGACTGAGGCTGTGGGAGGCTCCCTGAAGGTCAGCGTTGGTGTGCTGGAGCATCTCTGAAACACACAGGTGCACAGACACAATCGTGCTCCCAGACTGTAGGGCACAACTCTTTACACAGCAGCAGTAGCACTCCGCTGTCCCATGTGTATGCACCGGAGCAGAAATCCATTTCCTTTGGATTCTTCTCTGTCCTTCCCAGAACCTTCATCTTTAGAGAGCCTTGAAGGTGAGGCCAATTTGGTTGGAAACAAACAGTTGGGGCAGTGAGGTGGAAGAATGGCCGAAGAGAAACACAGACAATGAGGAGGTCATGTCACTCTGATTGCCCCATCCCCACTGCAGATTGTCCCAGAGCTTAGGATCCCTCTCCCCTCCCCCTTCTCTTTATGTCTGGAGCTGTGTTGTCAAATACAGGAGCCGCTAGCCATGCATGGCTATTGAGCACTTGAAATATGGCCAGTCTGTGTTGAGATGGGCTGAAAGTATAAAATATATATGGGAATTTAAAAACTTAGGAAAAAAGAATGTAAAATAGCTCATGAAAAAATGTTTTCATATTAACCATAATGACAAAATACTTGCATTTTGGAAATACTGGGTTAAATAAAACATATAATTAAAATGAATTTCATCTGTTTCTCTTTATTTAATTACACTGTGGCTCACATTATATTTCTATTGGTCAGCACTGGTCTAGAGCCTGCTGTGATCCAGACTGCTTGTCTGGGCCCTGGTCCCCTATTTGGGTCTTGTCATTTCTTTCCACAGAAGTGAGACTCTTGTCTTTCTTAGAGTCCCTTGTTGAATGGGATAAGAAATGAAATAGCCGGGCACGGTGCCTCACGCCTGTAATCTCAGCACTTTGGGAGGCTGAGGCGGGTGGATCATGAAGTCAGGAGATCGAGACCATCCTGGCCAACATGGTGAAACCCCATCTCTACTAAAAGGAAAAAAAAAAAATTAGCCAGGCGTGGTGGCACATGCCTCCAGTCCCAGGTACTCGGAAGGCTGAGGCAGGGGAATCGCTTGAACCAGGGAGGTGGTGCTTGCAGTGAGCCAAGATTGTGCCACTGCACTCCAGCCTGGCAACAGAGCACGACTCTGTCTAAAAAAAAAAAAAGAAAACAGAAATGAAATAATGCTGTATCCACCTGATGAGGACATCACCTCCTACCTGGATGGTAGGAGGACTTCTGTCCATCTCACTGTAACTTCTGATTTGGGGGCCAGAGGTACAGAGCCCTCCTTCTCCCCCCCCACCAACCCAACCCTAGTATCCATTTGGATTGAAGTACCAGCATGTGCTAGTACTAGACACAGGCCCAAAACTCTAGCCTAGACACAGGCCCAAAACTCTCCAGGAAGCCCCTCGTAGGCTGTGCCTGCCCTGCCTGGTAGGGTAAAGTCAGGTGGCCCCAAACGCTATGTCTTATTCTTCTCTTATTTTTCCTCCTTCCCTCTTAGCTGTCCTCTCCTTCCCCTACCCTTCTCTTCTTTTTTAAAAGTCTAATTCTGAGCAGCCGGCTCTGTTCAACCTGACTGGTTTGTTATGGCTTATAATCTGTGCCAGGATTAATTAGCTAATTACTGACAAACGTCCGCTGGCAAGATTCTGCTCCAGCTTGTCAGCTTGAAGTGTTTAATTATTTTAATCATTTACTTTCATCTTCAAAATTTATGCTGCCAAGAGAGTTGCAGGGCATCTTTTAATTATGATTTGGGGTTTCTGCTGGGCTGTGTTCTGTTCCTGAGGACAGGGGACATTATTTATTTTTTTACCAGTCTTCCACCAAAGCCTGAACACTCTTCTACTCCCAAGGCCTCCACATTCTCTGGATGGGAGGTGGAGAAGAATCCCAGGTCATCTATGGACACCTCTCCTGTAGCCCCAGAACATGATGTGCACAGGCGCATAAAGGAAATTGAAATGTTGTGAGTACTGTTATGTGCTGAACATCATGCTCATCATTTTTCTATTTTATTTCATGTTTGTGAGCACAGAATATGGAAACAGCCTGAGAACTGGTTGGAGTGGCCTGGGGTGATCAGCAGGGAGAAAAAAGTAAGAAAGGCATTCTTTGATTGATTGATCGATTGATTGATTTTTGTGGTGTGATTTAATTATAGTAAACTGAAATCGTCCTAAATTTCAGTCTCTGCAAATTGTCACATATACATCCACCATCATCTGGTCAATGACCCCTAGAGGCTCTGTAATGCCCACTCCCAGCCTATACTTCCTAACAGTAACCCCTTCTGACTTCTTTCACCATAGATTTGCTTTTCTAGTCTTCACTCTCATGTAAATTAGAATCTGTGATATGTTTTCTTTTATGTGAAACTGCTTTCCCTCAACATTTTGGCTGTGAGAGGAAGGGGTCCTTAACATAAATCCTATTCTCTGACCAGGGTTTTGCTTTGGGTCCAGCTGAGAGCTTCAACCAATGTTCTTTTTTTTTTTCTTTCAGAGCTAGCTGAGGCTTTATTTCGGGCCAAAAGAAAAAGAAAAAAGGCGGTCGGGTGCGGTGGCTCAAGCCTGTAATCCCAGCACTTTGGGAGGCCGAGGCGGGTGGATCATGAGGTCAAGAGATCAAGACCATCCTGGTCAACATGGTGAAACCCCATCTCTACTAAAAATACAAAAAAGTAGCTGGGCATAGTGGCACATGCCTGTAATCTGAGCTACTCAGGAGGCTGAGGCAGGAGAATTGCCTGAACCCAGGAGGCGGAGGTTGCGGTGAGCCGAGATCGTGCCATTGCACTCCAGCCTGGGTAACAAGAGCGAAACTCCATTTCAAAAAAAAAAGAAAAAGAAAAAAGGCAATTGAATTGTTATGCAGCTGGAGGCAGGGGCAAGGGGGATCACCAGGCAGTAAACTCCCAGCTGGTGGGCTGAGGGCTAGGGCTGAACCTCAGGTGGGTCTCCTGTTCCCTGTGCTCCCCTGCACAGTGGCCTCCCTCCCGGGCTCTGGGGCAGCCTCAGGAGGGGCAGGCTGGGAGGGACTGCCGCAGCTGTTCACTTGGGCAGGACGTCAAAGGACTCGGACACCAGCCTCCCATCGCGGGTCTCAATCTTCTTCACAACCACGGCCTTGGTGGTGCTGGGGCAACTGAAGGAGCTGGAGCCCGTACGAGAGCCAAAGCCGGAGCCCAGGCCATAGCTGAGGCCAGGGCTTGTGAGGCCCCCATAGGCTGAGCTCAGACCACCTGCATAGCCGCTGGTGGTCTTCCTATGGATACTCATGTTCTGTATCCCAGACTCCAGCCAGCTCTCCTCGCCCTCCAGCAGCTTGTGGTAGGTGGCGATCTCAATGTCCAGGGCCAGCTTGACGTTCATCAGCTCCTGGTACTCACACAGCTGCCGCGCCATGTCCTGCCTGGCCCGCTGCAGGGCTACCAAAGGAAGTTGATCCTGTCAGTCAGTCCTTCCAGGCGACACTCCAGCTCTGCCTTGTTCATGTAAGCTTCATCCACGTCCTTCTTGATGAGGACAAGTTCATTCTCCATCTCTGTATGCCTATTGATCTCATGCTCATACTTGTTCTTGAAGTCCTCCACCAGCCCCTGCATGTTGCCAAACTCTGCCTCCAGCTTCAGCTTCTCCTGGTCCAGAGTCTCCAGCTGCCGCCTCAGGTTGTTGATGTAGCTCTCGAACATGTTGTCCATGTTGCTCCGAGCCGTCTTCTGCTGCTGCAGGAGACTCCACTTGGTCTCCAGCATCTTGTTCTGCTGCTCCAGGAACCTATCTTGTTGATGAAGGAAGCAAACTTGTTGTTGATGGTCTAGATCTGCTCCTTCTCCTGGGTACGCACACCTGGATGTTGGGGCTCACTTCCAGGTTAAGGGGGCTCAGCAGGCTCTGGTTGACCATGACGGCGGTGATGCCTCCCATACCCATGTCCGTGTCCATGCTGCTGGCCCCACCATAGCCTGCACCCAGGCTGCCCCGGAAGCTGCTGCTGCCCACTCGGGAGAAGCTCGAGGAGCTGATGCGGGCACAGGGTCCACTCGTGTAGGGGTGGCTGCTGAAGGCCCAGGGACCAGAGGTGGACACCTTGTAGGATTTCTGGGTCATCCTGATGGATGTGGTGGAGGCAGGAGTGGAGGCAGGCAGGCTGAACCAGGTGGAGATTCCAGAAGGAGCAGAAGCTGCTTCTTCTCAACCCATGTTCTTAAAAAGACTGCCACAGTTTCCTCCTATAAGCATTATTTTGAAAGTGAATTTGGGAGGCCAAGGCTGAGGAGTTCGAGACCAGCCTGGGCAACATGCCAAAACCCCACCTCTACAATAAATACAAAACCATTGGGCAGGCGTGGTGGTGCACACCTGTGGTCCCAGCTACTACAGAGGCTGAAGCTGAAGGATCATTTGAGCCTGAGAGGTCGAGACTACAGTGAGCTGTGATTGCACCACCGCCCTCCAGCCTGAGCAGCGGGATGAGACCCTGTCTCCAAAAAAAAAAAAACAGAGAGTTTGGATATGATTTTTCTCCTTCCCTCTCTCTCCTTCTCTAGTTTTTCCTTTTCCCTCTCTTCCTCCTCCTCTCCTTGCTCTTCCCCCTGGCCATAGTCATGACTTTTACTACATCTTATTAGGAAGTTCTTTCTGAGCTCAAATTTATGCCATTCTGGATACAAAGGCTTATGAGTTTCCTAAAGACATGGTATTCAGAGGAGGGTTTTGAAGAACAAAAGATTCCCCTATTATGAGTTGAATTGTGTCCCCTAAAAAAGATATGCTGGATTCCAAGTCCCCACTACCTCGAAATGTAGCCTCAACAGGAAATGGGTCTTTACAGATGTGGTCAAGTTAAAATGAGTCATTAGGGTGAGCTCTAATCCAAGAAGACTGGTGTCCTTGTGAAAAGGGGAAATTTGGACACACACACACAGAGAGAGAGAGAGAGAGAGAGAGAGAGAGAGAGAGAGAGAGAGAGAATACCATGTGAAGATAAAGGCAGAGATGGGGGCATGCATCCTCAAGCCAAGGAACCATTGTCCCTAGATCCCTAAGAGGGAACCAACCTGCCAACACCTTGATCGCAGACTTCAAGCCTCCAGAACTGTGAGACAAAACCAACCTCCCTCCCTCCTTTCCTTCCTTTCTCCCTCCCTCCCTTTTTTCTTGCTTCCTTCTTTCCTTCCTTCCTTCCTTCTTTCCTTCCTTCCTGCTTGCTTGCTTGCTTTCTTTCTTTCTTTCTTTCTTTCTTTCTTTCTTTCTTTCTTTCTTTCTTTCTTTCCTTTCTTCTTATTTTGGGACAGAGTCTCGCTCTGTCACCTAGGCTGGACTGCAGCGGCACTATCTCAGCTCACTGCAGCCTCCACTTCCTGGGTTCAAGCAATTCTCTTGCCTCAGCCTCCGATGTAGCTGGGATTACAGGCACACACCACCATACTCAGCTACTTTTTGTATTTTTAGTAGAGATGGGGTTTCACCACATTGGTCAGGCTGGTCTCAAACTCCTGACCTCTAGTGATCTGCCCACCTTGGCCTCCCAAAGTGCTGGGATTATAGGCCAGAAATACCGCACTCGGCATCTTCCTTCCTTCCTTCCTTCCTTCTCTCCCTCCCTCCCTGTCTCTCTGTCTTTGTCTCTCTGTCTCTCTTTCTCTCTTTCTGACAGAGTCTCACACTATCACCCAGGCTGAAGTGTAGTGGCATGATCTCAGCTCAGTACAACCTCCACCCCCAGAGTTCAAGTGATTCTCCTGCCTCAGCCTCCTGAGTAGCTAGGACTACAGGCGTGCACCACACCGGCTAATTTTTGTATTTTAGTAGAGACAGGGTTTCTCCATGTTGGTCAGGATGGCCTCGATCTCTTGACCTTGTGATCTGCCTGCCTCAGCCTCCAAGTGTTAGGATTACAGGTGTGAGCCACCACACCTGGTTCACTTTTCTTCCCTTCCCTTCCCTCCCCTCCCCTCCTCTCCCCTCCTCTTCCCTTCTCCTTCCTTCCTGTTTTTGTTTTGACACAGTCTCACTCTGATTGCCGAGGTTGGAATGCAGTGGTGTGACTAAGGCTCACTACAGCCTCAACCTCCCTAGGCTCAGGTGATCTTTCACCTCTCAGCCTCCCGAGTAACTGGGACCACAGGCACACACTACCATGCCCAGCTAATTTTTTTATTTTTTTTATTTTTTTTAATTTTTGGTAGAGACAGAGTTTTGTCATGTTGCCTAGGCTGGTCTCAAGGAAGGAAGGAAGGAAGGAAGGAAGGGAGGAAGGAAGGAAGGAAGAAAGGAAGTCAGTCCTCACCCTGGACTCATGCAATCTACCTGCCTCAGCCTCCCAAAGTGCTGGGATTACAGACATGAGCCACTGCACCAGCTCAAGACAATACATTTTGTAATTTCAGCACTCATGACAATACATTTTATAATTTCAGCCGTGCTCTGTTGCAACACCCCTAGGAAAATACTGCACCCCCAAAGGGAGCTCCAGTTGGGTCTTTCTGAATCTGTGTCATGAGACCAACAGCAACCTCTGCGGGATCCTCCGTGCTAACCCAGCCCCAGGCTGGGAGTGACTGAGGTGACAGCTCCAAGTTGGGAGACAGACTAAGGAGAGGAGAAAGATCAAATTAATGAGCTCAGCAATGCCATTAATGAGGCAGCAGGCAATATCCAGGGGGCTTCTGTGATGGCCTACACCAGGGCAAGATTAGCCAAAGGATGCCGGGAGCCAGCCCGTGCCAGGTTCTGATGTGATGTGATCTGTCCTCTTGATGCCTTCCTTCCACAAAGTCCAGGGTGGGGCTGGGAGTAAACAAAGAGTCCTCACTCAGTGGCTGAGATGGCTTGGGAGTCCCCTCCCCTTCTCTGGACCTGGCACATGACCCTGCACATGGCATTGAACTTTCTGCCATGCAGGTTCATATGCCCTCAGTAGAATAGTCCACCTATTCCTATGTGCCAGGCTCAGCAAAGGCACCCTATCTACATGTGTTTCCCTCCTCCTATTCCCATCCACCTTGAAAGTTCCATCTGAAACCATTTGCTTCATAGGAATGCAAGCGAGCAGCTTGCTAGCCTGTCTGGCAAATGCATAGGGAACCTCCTGCCCAAATCCTACAAAACCTTCTTTCTCTGGGTTCCTGCAGGTCCATGCTAAAAATCCCATCATCCAGCCTCCTTCTGAGGATCCTGTCCTTAAGGTCAGAGCCAGCTCTCACTGCCTTCTGCTAGAGCTCAAAGTTTCTGCCTAACAAGACCCTCCTCACCGACAGCCACAGGCTCTCCCTGTTTTGTCTACGGAGGTCCATATGGGGTCTGAGTCCCTGTCACAGTCTGTGTCTTCTATAGCCAAGTCTAGCTTATGATGGCTTATATGATGACGGGCATGGCCAAACCCCCTCACCACCATGTGCTGTCTGAGGATCTCAAACACAGATGAGTGGAGACCTGTGCCTGGGAAGCCTCATGATGAAGTAAGGCCTGAGGAGAGAAATAAGATGAGATCTGGGTTCTAGCCCTGGGTCTATTTTTAGGGCAAGCCACTTCCCTTCTAAATCTCTTTCTTTGCCTGAAAAATGGGGACATAATCTCCACTGTGTGAAATTATACAGCCAAGTAAGGGTATAAAAACATGACTGCATGTGGCATATACATACATAGACATAGTTGAGGGCATTATGCTGAGCAAAATAGGCCAGTCACAAAGGACAAATACTGCATGATTCCACTTTTTTTTTTTTGAGACAGAGTTTTGCTCTGTTACCCAGGCTGAAGTGCAGTGGTGCAATCTTGGCTCACTGCAATTCTCTGCCTCCCAGATTCAAGCAATTCTCCTGCCTCAGCCTCCTGAGTAGCTGGGATTACAGGTGCCTACCACCACACCTGGCCAATTTTTGTATTTTTAGTAGAGATGGGGTTTCACCATGTTGGCCAGGCTGGTCTCGAACACCTGACCTCAGATGATCCACCTGCCTCACCTCCCAAAGTACTGGGATTACAGGCGGGAACCATCATGCCCGGCCTGCATGATTCCACTTATATGAGGTACCTAGAGTAGTCAAATCCACAGAGACAGAAAACAGCATGGTGGTTTTCAGAGTTGTGGGAGGGGCAATGCAGAGTGATTGTTAATGGGTATAGAGGTTTATTTTTGCAGGATGAAAAGAGTTCTGGAAACAGATGGTGGTCGTGGTAGCACAACAATGAGAATCTCCTTCATACCACGAAACTGTATGCTTAAAATGGTTAAAATGGTACACTTTGTTATGTATATTTTACCACAATTTAAAAATATGCAATAAAAACAAACTGCGAAGCTCTGAACAAATGTGACACTATTAGTATTACAGCCACTTTTGCACTTGGCTCTGGGGACCCCAAAGGCCTTCTCATCCTCCACCACAATAGAAGCCCCCTCCATTCTCATTTGTTATCATTTCTAAACAATTTCTATGAAATATGCTTCATAGTTGCTATAGGTTTGATCTTCAGCCCTCACATTCTAGATAGAGTAACACAGGGGTTAGAGTAACAGTGAGTCTGCAGATCTGGGTTCCAATTTGGCTCTGTTGTTTATCAGCTGCACAAGATACTTCTTCAAGCCTTTTTTTTCTCATGAGGTGAGCAATTATACTGATCTCATAACACAGTTGTAATAATTAAGTAAAAGAATGTGGCCGGGCATGGTGGCTCACACCTGTAATCCCAGCACTTTGGGAGGCCGAGGCAGGTGGATCATGAGGTCAAGAGATCAAGACTGTCCAGGCCAACATGGTGAAACCCCGTCTCTACTAAAAATACGAAAAATAGCCGGATGTGGTGGTGCGCTCCTGTAATCTCAGCTACTCAGGAGGTTGAGACAGGAGAATTGCTTGAACCCAGGAGGCGGAGGTTGCAGTGAGCCAAGATCACGCCACTGCACTCCAGCCTGAGCAACAGAGTGAGACTCCCTCCAAAAAAAAAGCATGGGGCTGAGTGCAGTGGTTCATGCCTGTAATCCTAGCACTTTGGGAGGTCGAGGTGGGCGGGTCCCGAGGTCAGGAAATCAAGACCATCCTGGCTAACACAGTGAAACCCCATCTCCACTAAAATACAAAAAATTAGCCGGGTGTGGTGGCATGCACCCGTAGTCCCAGCTACTCTGGAGGCTGAGGCAGGAGA